GTCCGCTACAGAGGTATCAACTTCTTCGGGACTGGATACAGTCTTTGTCTTCGTCTCCGGTTGGGCTTCCTGGTTTGGAAGTGAAGACGATGAAGGCGAAGACAATACCTGGGCGGGTTGCGCATGAGAATCGACGCCCAAGGGTCGGAATATGTCCGCTACAGAGGTATCGACTTCTTCGGGGCTGGAGACAGTCTTTGTCTTCGTCTCCGGCTGGGCTTCTTGGATTGGAAGTAAAGACGATGAAGGCGAAGACAATACCTGGGCGGGTTTCGCATGAGAATCGATGCCCAAGGGTCGGAATATGTCCGCTACAGAGGTATCGACTTCTTCTGGGCTGGAGACAGTCTTTGTCTTCGTCTCCGGCTGGGCTTCTTGGATTGGAAGTAAAGACGATGAAGGCGAAGACAATACCTGGGCGGGTTGCGCATGAGAATCGACGCCCAAGGGTCGGAATATGTCCGCTACAGAGGTATCGACTTCTTCGGGACTGGATACAGTCCTTGTCTTCGTCTCCGGCTGGGCTTCTTGGATTGGAAGTAAATATGATGAGGGCGAAGACCATACCTGAGCGGGTTCCGTAAAAGAATCGACACTCACGGACTGGATGATGTCCGCTATCGAGGTATCTGCTTTGGGACTGAAGATCGTCTTTGTCTTTGTCTCCGGCTGGGCTTCTTGGATTGGAAGTAAATATGATGAGGGCGAAGACCATACCTGAGCGGGTTCCACATAAGAATCGACACTCACGGACTGGAGGATGTCCGCTATCGAGTTATCTTCTTCGGGACTGAAGATTGTCTTTGGCTTTGTCTCCGGCTGGGCTTCCTGGATTGGAAATAGATATGATGAGGGCGAAGCCCATACCCGGGCGGCGAAAGCGGCATCTTCTGATTGCGTGATGGCTAGGATTTCAACTTCAGCCTTTGACTTTGTCTCCCGCTGGGCTAAAAGAGATGATGAAGGCGAAAAGAACTCGGCGACAAAAGCTTCATCTACAAAGTCCGCTTCGTATTCCTTATATCCTGGGACATGCCATGGTCGCTGGATGCGATGCAGATTTTTGGATGGATCTATAGAGAGCCCTTGTCGGGTTATCAACATTTCCCATGGCTGAACATTGAAGTCACTAATCATCTGTTTCAGAATATCGAGTTTCATTTCAGGCTGGCGGCGACCAGAGGTAAAGCTCTTCTCAGTCCCTCCTGGTGACGTTTCGGCTGATTCTTGCTCCATCGTTTGTTCACGCTGTCCGTCGGATCCTCGCAGGCCACTCTCGTTCTTATCCCCCTCTACCTTAAGTATATCAAACCGAGATTCCTTTTCGTTTCCGCTCACGTTTCCTTCGTCGGACGTGGGAACGACAATGTCAGCGGCATCTTCTGATTCCATATGAGAATCGATGTCCAGGATCACGTCCACCATAGAGGTATCTTCTTTAGTTTTTGTCCTTCTCTCCCGCCGAGCTTTCCGGATTAAAAAATATGATAAGACTTCATCTACTAGAGCCGCTTCGTATTCCATGTATCCTGGAACATGCCATAGTGGCTGGAGACGAAACCGATTTTTAAATCGATCTATGAAGGCTATCTGTTGTCGAATCAACATGCCTTGTAACTGAATATTACGGTCACTAATCGTCTGGTCCAGAGGGTGGATTTCTTCATCGAACGTAGGAAGGACGATCTTGGCTGCATCTAAGCCTTCGAGGGTATCCCGGCAGTCCCTTGCAAAACGGTCCAATTGCTTCATTGAAACACCTTCAGCATGATTCTGTCAAGCGAAATTGAGTTATCAAGGTCCCTTGATCAGACAATTTCATCACCTGGGTCAATGCATACGGATCCCTAATGATCAGATGTTGGAACTCCCAAGACATCGGCTGAAGTTGCTCAGACAACGTTTCCCTACCAGGATCTGACGAATTTGAATACGTCCGCCGCATTAGCGGTGGTTGTAGAGGTTGTTCAGGGTCGCAGATTGAGATTATTACATCTTTTCGCAGTTCATTAATGAGACTCCAGTATCTTTGTTGTCATTAAGCACACATTGTGGGCAGTGATTCTGACGTCACCAACCTGAGGAAGCTAGCAAAGGACTCTTTATGAGACATATCGGAAACAGGTTCTTGAGTTCTCTGGAAAAAAAGGTTAGGTAAGGATAAGTGCATGGAATACCGAGTTACCTGAAGGAAATATCCCGTCATGATAGCAATTGCAGTTGAAGAGAACTGGTAGAGTTGTCGTACGCGTGTCCATTTCCAAACAGCGGATAACAGTCGTTGTGCGTATAGATCTCGGAATATTCGTCTCAAGAGAGCAAATCGAGGCAGTACATAGGGCGATGGCAATGTCAGGATGACCGGAGCTCCATATACATAGCCTTTTCTCGAAGCAATGAGCAGTTGAGCAACAGGAGGACGTTCGCCTTTGTCAGGTAATGTAGAAACGAAATTCGGCCAAGGGGTGGTTGGTAGAGTCGTGGACCCATCGGTGTCCCTCCTGGCCCTACGGCGTACAGTCTGTAGGTCAAGAAACCCGCCTCTGTATCCCATTTCTTTGAGTCTAAGCGCCACGAAGCTTCGTGACATAATCAGAATCGTTGTAGATATGACACTCAAAGAAGAATGGCTACCTTGGACTGTGAAAGAGATTGGAGCTAATCGTGGAGTCGGAGGGATCCCAAACTAGCTCAGGAGGTGGAGACGAGTAGGTACTGGTCGCTTGAATGGTGTGGTCCTATCAAAGAGGTGATGAGTTCTAGTAAGGATCAATAGAGTAAGAAAATCTCACCACCATGACCAGCTCAACGGGTGCAAGATCGGTAAGCAAGGCATACTCATACAGGCTCACATCCAACAGAGTAATTTTTTGTGACTGACAAATATCGAGAAAAGCGCCGCGGATGTCTCGGACTGCTCTTTGTCGCTCCTGAAGTCTCCATAAGTCAGGAGGTTCAGTCAGACAATGGCCCTAAGGCAGAATTGGCTCGAGGTTCGTGTTTCTTCTCAAGTTCTGGCACTCACTACAGTAGAGTTCTGGAAATGAAGTACTGAATACAATCAATTACCTTAAAGGGAAAATTTACCTGTCTTAACTTCCTTGGTTGTACTTTCTTTGGTATCAACAACTGGCTCTGCGTTGATTCTAAGGGGTGTGGAAGCGGCTTTTGAGACCTAGACGGTAATTTGCCCCAAAGCCTGACCTCACGTTCAAGCCGAAGGAGGAGGGTCGGTCTCATGTGCCCCGGACGGCAAAATGGGAGGCGAGCCGTAAATTCATATCACTTTCGCATTTGCTCGAAAAACTTGACACGTGACATTGTCAGTAATAATTACATCATCTTTAAGTAGCGGTCAAAAGTATCTAGATCCTTTCTACAGGATGGTTACTTGCTTCTTCCATGGATCTTTTCGAGGAAACTCCTGAATACTTCACGTTTCATTCCTGGGTGGTCTGCCTTCTGTCCGTTCTCATCAACAATTACACCATCCTCCGGTATGCTGTCAATCAGCTCATTGAGGCGCTTGTATACACCAGTTTCGTACTCGGCGTAGACCTTGTGAAGACCAACGGTTTCATAAAGCTCCTTGACGCGTTTTTCGCAAAGCCCGCCCGCCTCGCCGTCCTTTCCTTGTGGTGTCTGTTCCGTGTCTGCACCTTCAGCCCCAGCCTCGATGTCCCCTTTACGGCCGTAATTGCGATCGAGGATGAGTCGCTGTTCGGGGGTGCAGAGCCCCATGACAGTGTTGACACACCACGAGCACTTATTATCGACAATGTCAGTGCCAATCTTTCCAAGGACTTCTGGAGGCGCGGAAAAGTCGAGAAAATCGTCCTGGATTTGAAAGTATTCGCCAAGGGGAATGAGAATTGAGAGCGCAAGATTATACGGTTCGAGGTGTGTGGTCGAGTTGGCGTGTTGTATGCTATACTTCTCTGGGATGTTGCACATGAGCATTGCAAGAGCGACAGGAAGATGGAAGGAGTAGTAAGCTGTCTTGTACGTGACGATGAGACGATGCCTCTCGAGTGAGAAGCGAGCCAGATCAACAACACCCTCGGGAGCGGTGACGAGGTCGACCAGCTGTCCCATTTCCGTCTTGTAAGTGATATCATGGAAGATATCCACGAGATCAATGTATCGCGGATGAGACTTGAAGTGATTCCTGAGTAGATAATAGATCGCCGAATTAAGCATAAAGGCATCGTTGATCGCCACCATGCCTACAGCAGGGTGCTTGTGGGCGGAGATGGTGACCGACTCAGATGGAGCAGTAACTGCAGGTGCGGGTGAGAGGTACCAGCATGGCTGGCCTCGGCGAGTGATAGATGAGTCCATGATATCATCAGCGACGAGGAAATAGGCTTGTAACTGAGATCGGAACGTTATATAATTATTCTTCCACGTCAAGAAAGGTATACTCACCAACTCAATACTCCAACCCAACACTGCTGCCTTGATGTATTCTTCCTCTGACAAGGGTCGGCCTAGCAGAATCTCTGCGGTATCAATGACGGATAAACCGCGGTTAAGTTTGCCTCCGGGAACATTGTAGTCAAGGTTCTGTTAAGGTGTCGAAGTGAAAAGATCTCGCACGGTGCAACGAAACGTACGGAGCGATACCACTCAAGAGCCTCGAGAGGCAGGCCTTCCTTCCTACAGCTGTCTGAAAGCTCATCGCGAATGAGCTGAAAGGCACCTTCGAACTTCGCGCGGCGAGCAGCTTTGGAAGACATGGGTGTTGTAGGAGAAGGAGAGTGATAAAGGGAATGATGACGCTTAAATTTGTCCACTCCATATAATCTGCCGATGCGATTTCGTCGTGGATCAGGCCACTTTTGAATGCAGGAATTGAAAATGTTGATATTAATCTCGAGTATGAATCATATCGGACATCACATCGATATCAGCTACATTTATATCACAATAGTGGAATGATATTTCATATGGATACACCAGACTACGTTGTGGCGTCAAAACGAAGCCGTAAGAGTCGATGCATTAAGAGGGAATCGAACCCCCGGCGGGTCGAAATAACCATTAAATGGCAACGACCCAGGTTACCACTACCCCATTAATGCCTTCCATTGCCCTCAGGGAACTTACATAGGATCGTAGAAATTTCGTCATTCTTTCCTAGTTACACATGAAATTTTCAGCTCCAAGTCTTATGGTCCTCCAGCCAGAGCCATAATCTTCGCTACAGCTTGTTCCGCCATAGACATGAGCATACCGTGTGGGTTACCCATAGGTAGTTGTGGAATCTAGAAAGGAACATTAGCTCAAGGCGGGATGCTAACCAACGGAATTCCCTTACAATGGACGCCTATGAAAGGAAACAGGTTAGGATATTTAACAAATGTCATCAAAGTTCGGACGCACGTCGACAATGAATAAATTGTCTGTGTTGAGCACTTTCGCGTTCTCGTCTACAACCGAACCAATGCTAGCAGACCCAACCCAGTGGTTCGAGCACAAGGATGCCTGATGCGCAAAATTAAAAAGTTACGAAGCGTGTTTCAGCTCGAAACTCACTGGGTCATAGTCGTTTACTGGAAAAAATGTAAATCTTTTGGTCGCAATAAGCTACAACCCGACATACCATAATCAGTAACTGTAGTGGTATTATCCGGGGTAATGAGCGACAATCCCGGAACTGAGGCACACAGATCAGCCGTCACAGATCTCCACAGACAAAGCCAAACATACTATTCTTGACGTTCAGTATCAGGTCGTTGATGGCCTGGATCAGGACAACTTTGTCTACAGGGTCACTGAACCAAGGATTGACCAAAGGTCGTGCCGTCATCGCTGCGTCAACACCAACGCGGCCACGGGAGGTGATACCAGTCGAACTTGGCGGCGATCAGTATCACAGGTACCTATACGTTGGTTTACAAGGAGCTTACAGGTACAGAGTGATGGTAAAGATTTGGCTGTGTGGAATCAACAAGATATTCTTTATTAGCGAAACGTCACAAACCTTGCATTGTATGGGTATGCGGTAGTCACGGAGGCAGCACCGGGGCGGACAGTGCCTTGTACCTGACCAATCGCTTGTAGGTGATCACCACTTGAATTGTGAAAATAAAGAACGTACCCAACGTGTCTTGCCATCAGTACCAGAAAGGGCACGCCAGAAGTTAAGCCTAGATACGGAAAGAAGTTTGGAAAGGAAGTTTGAGGTGAAGGGATTTTTACTTACCTGGGAGAGGACGCGGCAAGGACACCGCTAAAGTTCGCAAGGTATTGTGAAGCGTCTGCAGGGCGGGGATTACTCCAGACCTGGGCCCAGTTCTCGTATGCGTCGATAGAAGGATGAGTGAAGACTAGCTGTCGTAGGACATATTTGAGTTCATAAAAGTGTAGAACCATATAAAATAAACATGACTGACATTGATCGAGGGATTGTCCGAGACCTAAGATGATGGTGAGCTCGTAATTGAGCGCAACAAAGACACTCACGTTGTAGCCAACAGGTAGATTGATCCATTGTGATTGAGGAGGAAGTCTAGGGCCCGCGGTTGCATCATTTTGGGCAAGAGTAATCATATCGGTCGGGCCAATGCCACTACGGAAGAGCACGCGAGGGGTACCGAACGACCCAGCAGATAGAACAACTCGGCCATTGGGATTGAGAGGAATGACTCCGTTAGGGCCAAGAGAAGTGTCGTTGGTCTGTACACCCAAGATCTGGGAGCCGTTGCGAACAAGATTTTGGACGTAACTGTATTGCCTAAACGTGAAGTTAGGGCGAACTTTCGCACTCTGAAAGTAGGTCGCCACTGGGCCCCCTCGTTTCCCTCCGATGAACTAAACATAGACATAGTCAAATATGATAACAGATATCTCTCCAAAAAGACTCACATCAAATGAACTATATCCATAAACATGCTCTTTGTCATCTGGTCTGTCATTAATATTTAACTGACGATATCCTTGATAATTAAGAAGTTGTGCGGCGACACTCGCTGACTGCTCTAGATAGCGTTTCCCGTCCGTAGATGGCGCATCCGTGCTCGGAAGTCGAGCCAGCATTTTATTAGTGTATGAAATGTGATTCGACCAGGAGGTAGGCCATCCTGATGACGTTGCGAAGTCTGAATAAGGGGGGACCCAGTAAAGACTAAGATCAGATCAGATACTAAACCAGGAGCTGACGAGGTTCAACTTACGCTCCATTGATCGTGGTTCCGCCACCGAGAAGACATCCTGCGAACACAGTGATATCTATTCGGGTTCTTGTCAGTAATTAGCGTATTCAGAACAGCAGTAAGAGAGCTTGCCTTTACACCACCAGAATGGGTTGCTGTCCGTAAACATGGTTTCTAGGATGAATGGAAGATTAAAGAGGCGGTCCAAATGAACGAAGAACGTACCAAATAAACCAGGGATATCAAATTTGGTCAGCTATGAAGTTCAGTTTCAAGTTCAGTTTTAAGGCATTAGTTAGAGAAAAGAGACATACGTTATGACCTGCCGCCCAGGTAGGTCCATATGTGCCACCAGTCTCCCAGGTAGCAGGTCCCCCACGTTCTAGGAGTAATACCTTCTTCCCAGCTTCAGAGAGGCGATCCGCAGTGATCAGACCACCTGGGCCAGCACCGACGACGATATAGTCGTATGGGGTCGCCTGACTGTCCATGAGTATTTGCGCTTTAGATGTGGAGGTTAGCTATCTACTTACAGTGACAGTTGGCGTAGAAGAGGTTGACGTTGACGTGGTCGTGGTCGTGGTTGTGGGCGTTCCTGTTGGACCAGTACCACCAGATGCCCAGTATGCGTAAGAAGCAGAATCAACATGAGCCGAGGAAAAATCGAAGCCATAGAAGCCGACTGAGGTGCGTCATGGTCAGTAATAGGCCCGAAAAAAGGGTTTGATCAATACTTGCAGTCAGTGTGTTCCTGGAATGTACTGTTAGGGTTGGCCGGTTCATCTACAGCAACGCTAGAGAAAGTCCAAGCGGGAGCACCGAAAGCGCTGATGGGAATACTATTCGTGCCACCAGTCGTGGTTGGCCATGCTACAACATACAGTAAACCATTGAACAGAGCAATTCATCGGCGAACTCACTGATACAGTCCTGGCAGCGATACACCCATCTCCAGTGCGTAGAGTTTACTCCAGTCGTAGGAAGGTCTGTCAGGATGGGCTGGGTGAATGCACTTGGGATAATGTAAGAGTAGTATAAAAAGAGATCGAGATGATCTTAGCATACACAGGCTGAACATAATCACTAAATAGAGAGGCATCAAAAAAAGGAAGAGGCCGTCACAGAACGATACGGACGTGGCAAATCTTGCGGAGCGTACAATCGAGTTTCCATTTCTCCAGGCAACTAGAAGCAAACTCTGAAGCATGGTACCAGTGGGGGAAACACCAGCCCACTGGGTATCGATGGGCGCAACAATTTCTCCGATAAATTCAGTGGAGTTGTCCGCTAGAGGAGGGAAGACGTAGCCATATGTGACTCCATGTACAACGTCAGTTAATCCCCAGAAACTAATGCCATTGACTGAATCAGTATAAGCTGTTCCAAGCTGTGAGAAGACTACGTAAAATGAGGGATCAGAAAACTGAGGTAAGATGATTTCTGTCACTTGCCTGGTCCAACCAGTATAAGGACACTGAAGGCTGGTCGCAAGAGCATGGCTCTTAGAGAGGCTGTAATCGGCTGACTTACGGTCGCGAGATGGCTTAAAAGGTGTTGCCAACTATATGGAAAAGGCGAGATATTTCCGAAATGGCAAGGATGACACCAAGCAGTGATCCGTTTCCCCTTTCATACACAAGAATGGAGGAGATATAAGATGAATCAATAAGGGGACATTGTTCATGGTCAGAGGAACGGAGTCAACTCGGAATCAGCAACACAGCTCGTGACCATGACCAAGTGTACAGATTTTGGCAGCCGTTACCATCGGAGAAATGAATAGCTAAACCTGATACATAATGTTAGTACCCTTGCAACGTCTAAATTCGAACGATGATGGAAGGGAACAATCCAAGTCAAAGGCCAATGGCAAGCCTAACGGAAAGTCTAAAAGTAAGACTTCTGATGTGTGGCACGAGTATGCCTTTTCCTTAATTTTGGTTGATGAGCTGCAGTCACATGATCGCACCGCGTCCTCTCTTCGACGCATCCCCCCGTCTCCAGCTCCCGTCCTCGCCCTATGTCCGCTGGGATGCCATCCATTTTCTCGCCATTGCCGACGCCGGCAACAAGTACGAGAACCCTTCCTCATCAATCTGCTTATATATGGCCCATCGTCCTCTTGGTAGTGGCTGCCGACTCAGCGCGAATCCTTCACCGTCTGACCTGCCTCCACTTTCCTGCCTCCCCAGCCTTCGCTCGTCTTGTCCTCCTCTTATCTCTCTTTCCCAGTAGTCCTGCAACCCTTTATCTCGCCCCATATGCAGAACCCTTCTTTACATATCTTTCATACAGAGGTAATGTCGTATTTTTATTTTCTACCTCGCATTTCACACCTGTCAGGCATGTTTCATGCCGCCCAACATCACTGGATACGTGCGACCTTGTGCTTCGTTCTCGCCACCTTCTTCCGCTCCAACGGCGTCCTTCTCGCAGTTTGTCTTGTCTGGGGCCTGGTTTTCCAACCATTCCTCGATCGCAAACAGGTCCGCACCCGTCTGACGGAGCCGTTCCCACCTTACCTTTTTCAAGATGGCATATTCCATTGTATTATCAGCATGTGTGGCCGCCCCTTTCATCTACCACAACTACAAGGCTTATCGTCTGTTCTGTGATCCCCCCAACCAACCAGTGGTGCTATCGCATCCCGCCATATGTATACACTCATGTACAAGCAAAATACTGGGATGTCGGCTTCCTTCGCCACTGCACGCCCCCCCAGATACCCAATTTCGTCATCGCAGCTCCCCCTCTTGTCCTTCTTATAGCGTTCTCTGTCCAGCACATCAAGTCATCTTTTCTGGGTTTCAGAGCCCGATTCAATGGCGTCAAGGAAACCGACAAGGAAGAGAACCTGTTTGCGATGCCGTCAATAACCCCATACCTTGTACATTCACTTGCAATGTGTATCACTTTAATCTTCTTCT